TTCAAGTCTTACTATAAAGTACAGTAAGACAGAAAGAATGGCATTGGTGAAAGGACAGACTCAAGATCAATGCAAAAGGTCCTCACATATATAGTCAATTGATTTTCAACAAAAGTTGCAAAGGCAATTCAACGAGAAAGGCTAGTCTTTTCAACAAATTGTCCTTAAGCATTTGGATACCCATATACAAAAATAAAAAAATGAACTTCTACCTACATCTCATACCATCCACAAAAATTAATTTAATTTCAAAATGTATCACAGACCTAAATGTAAAACCATAAAACTATAAAGCTTCTAGAAGAAAACGCAGGAGAAGATTTTGGGTTAGGCAAAATTTCTTTCTAGAGCATGCAAAAGTATGATCAATAGGGAGAAAAATGGATAAATCAGACCCAATCAAAATTTTAAATGTCTATCCAAAAGATACTACTGAAAAACTGATTAGGCAAGCCACAGGCTAGACCATATTCACAAAGCATATCTCTAACAAAATGATTGATTGGTATTCAGGATACATATAAAGAACTCCTGTGGTTCAATAATAAAATTAAAAAGAACCCCCCCCGCCAAAAAGAGCAAAAGATACGGATGGACACTTCACAGAGGAAGTTAATAAGTACATGAAAAATTGTTATCATTAGTTATCAGGGGACTGCAAATTAGAACCACAAGATACTACCAGAATAACTAAAATAAGAAAGACTGACAAGAATTGTTGGCAAAGATGTGAAGCAACCCAACCAGGTGTTTTATTTTGTTAATAGTTGCATAAAATGGTACAACTACTCTGGAAAAAGTCTTCATAAAACTAAACGTTACCTACTTGACAAGTCAGCGATTCCTTTCCTAGGTAAGGGCCCGAGAGAAATAAAAGCCTAAAAGAACTTGTATGTTAATATTCATATAAGTTTTATTAATAATAGTCATAAATGGGAAGAATCCCAGGTATTCATGGGGAAATGGATAAACTCTGGTATATTCATAAAATGGAATTTTACTCAGCAATGAAAAGGAGCAAACTAGTAAACTAGTAAATACAATAGAGATGAATCTCAGAAACATTAAGCTGAATGCAATAATCCTCACACAAAAGAGCAGTACACGCTATATGATTTCATATGCATGCAGATTTTGAACAGGCAAAGTTAATTTATGGTTTAAAATATCAGATTTTTTTTTTTTTTTGGTTACTTCTGAGGACAGAGCAGCCTAGGAAGGACCAAGAGGAAACTTTCTGGTAAAGGTAATGTTCTAAATCCTGTTAAGAATGTGGGTTAGATTCATGTATGTATTTGAAAAATGTTACATTTATGATTTGTACATTTACTAAATATAAATTTCACCTTAAAAATTCCATCAGCTACTGAACCATACAAGATGTCCTATTGCCAATTAAGATAGGACTCCAGAAACAAGGCAGAAAAGGAGTTCCCTCTCTTCACCATCTCTACACAGTGCCCAATGCCATTCCCTAAATCATGGGATAAAAGTCAGAATGACATTTCAGAAGTTGCCCAACTCTTGTACCATCAGGCACCAGGTACCCCTGAGCTGTTCCTCTTCTCCCAAAGCAAATTCCAGAATAGATTCTGAAATCAGTTAGTTACACCTAGCATAAATTAGTGACGAGCCTCTACCCTCTTGGGGCCGTTGCAATTTGCCTTGATACATCTCTGTGCTCACAGATGTTTTAGGGAGCAGGCAGGAGGCACATGAGTAGAGGCAGGAAGGTCCTCTCATCACCCTGCCTTCACCAGCTGGACCTGCCTGATCTTAAGTACCCCTGAAAGCCCCTGAAAACACGCACCAGGGAACTCTTGCCTAACTAATCTGAGGTAGAACCTGTAGTGCCCACACATGTCACCGAGAGATGGAGAAGAGTATGAACAAGCCAGCTTCCAGAGCACAACCACCCTCTCAGCTATCCCCTCCTGCACTAAATATGCAGTTAACAGGTTGACTGCACATTTTCCTTCAGCACACACAACTCTGAACGAAAGATGCGTTAAAACACAGAAACACCTAGAACAGTGCCTAACACGTGAATGAATTAACAAATATTTCAAAAGAGCCAGGCATTTTTATTCCATGAGAAAAGATGGAAGGCCAAACGGGGAGAGAAGGGGGGAACGTGAAAAAGTAGGGCTACCTCAGCTATAAATTTCAAAAGGGAACAAACTTGTTTGGCCAAGTGGCTTTCTCTCACTCACCCCAGGAATCCATCATTAAACTTTCACCTCCCTAGTAGGTGTGGTCCCAGAGTAACAACTTATTCACCCAAACAAATACAGGTGTCCTCGACCCCTACCACCTGCTGTGGCTCAGCTTGGTAAGCAGATGTCTCCCTCCAGCTTCCAGAGCGCATCCCTTACATTTGTTAATGTCATTTGCTAATTAAAAGTGAAAGAAAACACTTAAAGAGAGGAGCATAAAGGAAGAGTTAGCTCCCAGCTTTCATGCTAAAGACCTCAAGTCCCTCTTTTTAGAGAAATGTTTCAGCCTGGGAACTAGTTTTCTCATCAAAGCAAAGCTAAAGTAGAGCAAGTGAAGAAGGAATGAAAAAGACACAAAACATGGAACAGAAATGCAGGTCCTAAACTAGGGTCACAACCTACTCACGTCTTGTGAGGCCCCATGAGCCCCAGGTTCAGAAGCCCAGAAGGACTCATGGGAGTGCAGTGGGTTAATAAAACTGACGGCCATCTCTCCTTCACTCCCTGCATTTTGTCTAAACTTGTCAGTAACATTCCCAATGCCCAGATGTTTCATTTAGGAGTAAATGAGTCTTTAAAAAAAAAAGCAACAGCAAAGAGACCAAATTCATCTGACCATATATATTTATTGATCCTTTGTGTCTCTTTCAAGTATTTTGCTCTTTCCCACAAAGTCACAGTAAGAATGGAGTAGTTTCTCACAGTGCATAGCTGCTCTTCCCTTGACATACTGGAAGCACATTTTTAACTTCTGGAAGCCAATTCTGCCAGATTTGGGGAACCAAACAGACTGAAACTTCCAATTCCTTTGGGAAAGGGAAGTTCCTCCTGCCTTCACCACTTTCTGGGACTGTGAGGTAGCCCAAGAGCTGCCTTGATGCCTCTTTTCCTTTGATCTAAGCCAAGGATCCCAAGTTACACAAGAAACTAGCAACTCTATTCAAAATAAATGCCCCTCCCCATGTGCATCCGCTGACCTGCATCAAATAAGATATTTTCCCATTGTGCTGCTCAAAACATCCTATTAGGTGGTTTCCTATAAACCCCAACTAAATGTCCAAATTCTTATCTGGACTCTGTTAAAAACCTCAAAATCATTCCTGCCAACAGACCCAAATCACAGATGATGACCCAGTGGAAAGCCCACTATATTACTGCATACTCCACAGAACAGTTCCCACCGCATCCTAAGTTGTGCAATGAGGCACAATTACCTAGTGGGAGGAGAACACCTGATGATGTGTTCACTGTGACCACTCAGCTTTCAAATGGCAGCAAACAGGGCCAGCCCAGGAGCCAGCACTTGCCACTACTCACTGGACCCCCAGACAGCTGCCTCTGGCTTAGCACAAGCCCTCTCTATTTTACTCACAGCTTTAGACCCCAAGTCCATCCACTCCCCCTCTGCAAATATACTCTATGCTAAGCCTTTGAAAGCGGGTGGGGGTACCAGAGAATGCAACCACTAATTCAAAACAGAAAAACTGAGGACACAGACCTGAAAAGAGTTTTTCATCCAGACTGTCTGAAAGACCCCTTCCCCAGTGGGAATTTTGGCTTGGCTACTTGGCTCGCTGCTTTCAGAGCCAGAAACCTATTTCCTTCACTTACCCCTGCAATAAAAGGGCATGAAACGTGTGTGGCTTTCCATATGAGTTCTTTTTTGCTCTTTTGCTCTTAAGGGAAGATAAAGTGGGGGTGGGGGTGGGGGTAAGTACCTGGCAGAATGAATGGAGGTGAAAAGCCAAGGTTTAACCTCACTGGCCTGGACTCTGGAGACATCATCTCTGAGCAGACTGTACAGATCAAAGGCCTCTTGCTACCCTGTTCCCTGCTCCTTGGGGACTAAAGCAAATGCTGCTGCTCCTCAGATGGAGGAGGAGGAGGACTTCTGGACCGAGACAGAGAGGGGGTTCCTTAGCAGGAGGGCTGGAACTGGTGGCACGTCAACAGCAACCATACCATCAAATGGTCGTCACAACCCCACCTAAGCACAGACAGGCAGAACCAGGCTGTTAACAAGGAGCTGACATGGCCACCTGGGTTCAGTGCCGGGTGGCAGAGACCACTCAGCGGTGCAGTGCTTTAGTTTCTCAAACGAGAAGCGGCTTTACACTGGCAAAAAGCTGCTTTCTGTCTTCTAACAAACGGGCTATCTGAAGATGAGAAATGGGGAATTCTATTTAGCTAATAGGATGGGATGTGTCCACAGCACCATTTGTCGTTTCTTTTTCCCAAGCAGTTAACGACCCCAAACCTTCCGCTAGGCTCTGTTCCAAGACCACTGTGCACCACTCGGTACAGCAGGACATGAAAACCACAGGCTGTTGTCTGCTTCAAGTCTGTAATTTAAAAGAAAAAAGCAGCAGCCAGCTCAGAATCTGTAGCTTCTGGCTAGTCCCTGGGGAACCCTCCGTAGGTGTCCCAAGCAGCCCAGACAGAGGCCCCTGCCTCCTGACCGCAGTTCTGGCGCCCTGAGCATCACTATCTTAGGTAGAAAGTTCCTTCGGCCAGGAACCTGTGCGCTCCACTAGCTAAAAATGCTGAGGAATGGGGAAATGGTGGAGTTGGCGGTGGCAGGGGCCAGGCATACCTTGAGGGTCCCAGCAGGGGAAAGTCTTGGGACGACAGCCCTCCTCCAGCCACACGGCCGGGCCTCCCGTCCCCTCATCCTACCCCCGCCCCACCTCCCGCTCCCGCCCCCTCAGAGCTGAGCGGGGACTGCACGCGGCCCAGCGGCCAGGTCTCGGCGCCCTCGGCTCGCGCCGGGCGCCCCGCACTCACCCACGGCCCTGATGCGGAAGCCGCGCGGCGGGCGCAGCGCCCGACGGCACCAGGCGTCCCGCAGCACCTGCAGGCTGGCCGGAGGCGCGTGGACCAGCAGCACCCCGCGCCGCAGCCAGCCCTGGAAGGCCAGCCGCGAGGCGGCGCGCGCCAGCCGCGAGTTCCAGAAGCAGCGCGCGTTGGCGCGGCAGAAGGCGCGGAAGACCGCGCGCCCGCCAGCCTCCTCCGCGCCCCCCGCCGTCTCCTGCGCCTCCAGCCTGCAGAGCACCAGCGCCAGCGAGCCCGGCGCCAGCTGCACGGGCCGGGTCATGCTGCGCGGGCGGCCGAGGTCCGCCGCCAAGCGCCTCGTCGGGCGCGGCAGCTCCACAGCACAGATGGCGGAGGCGCCGCACGCCCGGCGAGACCGACCAGCTCACTGCGCGCGGCGCCGGCTGCCCGGGGAACGGGCCCCGGGGGGCGGGGTCGACAGTGCTCGGCGGGCCGGGGAGGGGCGGGACGCGCAGCAGCCGCCAGGCACCCAATAGGGGTTTCCAAGGGCTGAGTTTCCAGGGCGCGCTCCACACCCCAGCCCGGCTGTGCCTGCCCCGCCCCGCCCCGCCTTCCAGCCCCAGCCCCCGGGAGGCCCCGTATTCCTCTTCCCCTACGGCCGGGCGTTGGGGCTTTTCAAAGTCTCAGGGGAGCCCCGCAGCCCGCCGAGAGCTGAACTGGAGAGTCGGCGGGCCCCGGAGCCGGGAGGGCCAGGGTGCTCGTCGTCGCCTTGGCTTTGGAGTCGCTCCCTGTGACAAAAGACACCAGGGACAGCCTAGGGGCGTCGTGGACCTCGCTCGGGCTGGGAATGAGGAGAGCCGAGTTTGGGTCTCGCTCTGCTCAGCTATTTACCCAAGTTACGCCCCGCTCTCTGAGCTTCCGTTTACCGGAGAGTAAAGTGAGGCGTTGGGACTCAGTTCTAATGACCTTTTCATCCATGAATTTCTGAGGTTCTAGGATCTGGTCCCGCCCCTGAGATATCCCGTACACTTAAGGGGTAAAGGAAATAAAGCTCCAGAAGTGCCATCCCGATTGGCGACGCACAGTGGTGAAATCCGTGAGATTCGGCCCTGGGTTGGATCTCGGGATTCCGAAAAGACACCACCTTGCCCCAGGAGTATAGAGAGTAGAGCCTGTAATCCTCCACGTGCCTCTGAGCAATAAGGGACAATTCAGATGCTGAGAGAGGGAGGAGCCTGGAGCTCTGATTGGGCCACTGGGTGAGGAATCCTCGAAGAAAGGCGCTAGGGGATGGGCGCCTGTGCGTGGTAAAACCCTGGGGTCATTCCCACTCCCCAGCTCATCAATCATCAATAGCAACTATAATTTGAGATAATCTACTAGCCCTAGTAAATCATTATCACAATAAATAATAGATGATGTTATAACAACAGCTAACGTTTATTGAACACTATAGGCTGAGGGCATTAACTTCACAACTGTGTTGATGAGGACTGAGTGTTCTACCGATGGAGGAAACTGCAGCTGGGTTGGATTAAAAAATGTTTCCCAGTCACAAACGGAGTCAAACAACCACCAAGCCAGGTTCCCTATGAAATATAAGTCTGAGGCAGTTTTCAATCAAATAAGCATGCAAACCTGAGATGACCGTCTCACATCTGAATTCTGATTCTGGGATGGATGGCAATAAATACAGCAGAGAGCCCAAATGAACTAAACTTCTATGTCTGTATAATCTTCACAGGGAAAGTTCTGTGCTCTGGCACTCATGTTTTGGGGTCAAGAATAACTTTGCTGTGTTCCCCATCCTGGAGAACTATGACTTTAATCTCCATATCTATAGCATCTAGTACAGTGTCTTTTCCATCATAATAAGGATGATGATGATTCCCACTTTCTCTCAATTCACTCTGTGCCTAGAACTGTACTAAAGATTTCACATGTGTGATCTAATTTTATCCTTGAAATTAGTTCTCTAAAAGCTGTAATATTATTAAGCTCCATCTTGCACAAGAAAAACAAAAGCTTAGAAAGTTCAGGCAGCGCTTGCCCATGAGATCCCAGGGTCTCTTTGCCCACACACCTGGCGAGACGGGAGGCCAGATGACCACCACCCTGACTTACTGGACCTGTGGCCTGGCACAAAAGTCCTGAGCTTGATTCTCTCTCCCAAGAATTTGAACTGGAAGTACACAATCAGGTCTTTCCTAGCAGAAACCCAACTGCAAGTATTCTGTGAGATAGACACGGCTCTGAGATTTCATGGCCTGAAATTACAAAGTAGAATTCTCTTAAACTAAGGCGACTTTGGTTTGGATTGTGTGAAATTTCCCTTATCATTTTACTTATGCTAGTACAATTAACAAAAGACAAGGAAAAGAATGTGAGAAAAAAATTAAACTACAGCCAAATACCAGTCCACTTGTTTTCCCAAAGAATCAGCTACCCCCAAATATTCCTGAACTCCTAAAAATGGAACATGTCTTAAAAGTTAAATGGAAAACTGTAGGCTTCCAACCTGTATAGTCTGTATTATACGGCAAAACTAGAAAAACAGTAACTTCTCAAAGGCCTTCCATCTTTGTGGTCTCTGCAGATAAGGCACAAAAACATTTAGAAACAAATTTGGTATTCTCCACTTAAAGAGGCACAGAGTGGTCAAACTAAAAACTAAATTAAAAAGTCTCAAGACAGAGGGATTTTCTTTTAATTTTATATTTCCAGTGGCCTCTGCCTGAGAAAGGACAAAGTAATTCTAACACTATATACAAATCTAAATAGCATGCTATGCAATCATTTAAAAAATTGAGATAAAAATTTATGTATTGATATAATATCCCTGATGCACATATATACTTTTACTTTTTTTATATTTTTGAGCATCTATTTTATTTTATTAAGGTACTATTGATATACACTCTTATTAAGGTTTCACATGAAAAACAATGTGGCTACTACATTCACCCCTGTTATCGTGTCCCCATTGCAGTCACTGCCCATCAGTGCAGTAAGATGCCACAGAGTCACTATTTGCCTTCTCTGTGCAACACTGTCTTCCCCATGACCACCCCAAACCATATGTACTAAACATAATCCCCCTCAATCCCCTTCTCCCTCCCTCTCCACCTGCCCTCCCACAACCCTCCCCTTTGGTAGCCGCTTGTCCCTTCTTGGAGTCTGAGTCTGCTGCTGTTTTGTTCCTTCAGTTTTGCTTCGTTGTTATACTCCACAAATGAGGGAAATCATTTGGCACTTGTCTTTCTCTGCCTGGCTTATTTTACTGAGCATAATATGCTCCAGCTCTAACCACACATATGTATTTTTAAATTAGTTTATTTTTAATTGAAGTATAGTTGACATACAATATTATATTAGTTTCATGTGTACAACATAGTGATTCAACATTTATATACATTAGGAAATGTTCACTGTGGTAAGTGTAGATACCACCTGTCGCCATACAAAGTTATTATAATATCATTGACTATATTCCCTATATTGTACATTACATTCCCAAGTCTTATTTATTTTATAACTGGAAGATTGCACCTCAATCTCATTCACCTATTTTACCCAGCCCTCCACACCCTCCCCTCTGGCAACCACCAGTTTATTCTCTGTGCGAATGAGTTTATTTCTGTTTTGTTTCTTAGATGCCACATATAGGTGAAATAAGATGGTATTTGTCTTTCTCTGACTTATTTCACTTAGCATAATGTCCTCTAGATCCATCCATGTTGTCACAAATGACAAGATTTCATTCTTCTTACAGCTAATATGTCCATTTATCTATCGATGGACACTTAGATTGCATCCTTATCTTGGCTATTGTCAACAGTGCTGCAATAAACATAGCAGTGCATATATCTTTTCAAGTTAATGTTTCCACTTTCTTTGGGTAAATACCCAGAAATTGAATTATTGGATTGTATGGTGTTTCTATTTTTAATTTTTTGAGGAACCTCCATATTGTTTTCCACAGTGGCTGACTAATTTACATTCCCTCCAATACGGCACACGGGTTCCCTTTTCTCCACATCTTTGCCAACACTTGTTACTTTTTGTCTTTTTGATACTAGCCTTTCTGACTGGTGTGAGGTGGTATCTCATTATTGTATTGATTTGCATTCCCTGATTAGTGATACTGAGCATCTTTTCAAATGTCTGTTGGCCAACTGTCTGTCTTCTTTGGAAAAAATGTCTATTCAGGTCCTCTGTCCATTTTTTAAATTGCATTTCTTTCTTTTTTTTTGGTCTTGAGCTATCTCAGTTCTTTATATATTTTGGATATTAACCTCTTACCAGAATATCCTAGATACATTATAAGTAAAAAAGAAAGATTAATAAAAGAGTGGGTCTAATAGACCAACTACTTATGTTATAAAAAGAAAAGAAATGGGCACATGTGTAGATGTGTGACTGGAAAAATCTCTGGAAGGGTACATAAGAAGCTGCTGGTTACCTCTAGAGAGAGGAACAGGAGACAGGGTAAAAGTGAGGCTTATATTTCACTGTGTATTATCACATGCCAACACTTCTCTTTCTAAAAATATTCTCAAAACTTATATCTGGACATTAAGAAAATTAACTCTGGTCATTTTGAGAAATAGGATAAGAACTGTCCACCTCGGGCAAGCAAAACAAAAGCAAAAATGAACAAATGGGACTACATCAAACTAAAAAGCTTCTGTACAGCAAAGGACACTATCGGCAGAACAAAAAAGCACCCTATAGTATGGGAGAATATATTTGTAAACGACATATCCGACAGGGGGTTAACATCCAAAATATATAAAGAGCTCACATGCCTCGACTCCCAAAAAGCAAATAACCCTATTTAAAAATGGGCAGAGGATATGAACAGACAATTCTTCAAAGAGGAAATTCAGATGACCAACAGGCACATGAAAAGATGTTCCACATCGCTAATTATCAGGGAATTGCAAATTAAAACCACAATGAGATATCACTTCACACCAGTTAGGATGGCCAACATAGAAAAGACTAGGAACAACAAATGCTGGTGAGGATGCGGAGAAAGGGGAACCCTCCTACACTGCTGGTGGGAATGTAAACTAGTTCAACCATTACGGAAAGCAGTATAGAGGTTTCTCAAAAAACTAAAAATAGAAATACCATTTGACCCAGGAATTCCACTCCTAGAAATGTACCCAAAGAAAACAAGTTTTCAGATTCGAAAAGACATATGCACTCCTATGTTTATCACAGCACTATTTACAATAGCCAAGATATGGAAGCAACCTAAGTGTCCATCAGTATATGACTGGATAAAGAAGAGGTGGTACATATATACAATAGAATACTATTCAGCCATAAGACAGAAATAAATCCTACCATTTGCAACAACATAGATTGAGCTAGAGAGTATTATGCTCAGTGAAATAAGCCAGGCAGAGAAAGACAAGTGCCAAATGA